AGAACAATGCCAGGTCACAAACAACGATAGTGACTCGCCAGAAGTTTCGGGAGCTTGGATTGGATGTTTTTATACACCCAATTTAATGTTTGAAACTGGCATCAAGCGATTACTACCTGTTCCTGCCTATGGCGAAAGATTTTGCTGGTAAAAAATGTACCTCAAGAGAAGCTTGTTAAAATTGACTGTCCCAGTTTTTAGCCAATAGGGCTGAGGGTTTCTATGAGTGCGGCATTATGAAATTGCCACTATTTATCGAACAAAATTGTAACTATTGCTAAATAAAACCTGCATTTTAGTGCAAAAATATTTTTTTTTTACTAGGTCTAATATTGGTCCACCTTAGGATGTGCTCCTAGAATATGAAATTCTTGCCACAACGCACTCCTTTTCTCATTCGCTCGCTAAACTCTCAGGAACTTGCTTTTTAACTATTCAAAAGATGCTAAAGACTCGCTAAAACATGTTATATTTACTTCTGCTTAAAAATGAGTACAAATTGAGTTTCAGAGTCCCTTCTTTTAACACTGTGTCGTCATGACATATGAAATAAAGCTCAGAAAATTCAGCCGTCAAGACGAAACTTTCGTTAGTGAACTGAGTTTGATGACTTTGATGATGGGCGAAACATTTGTAGTCACAACAGTAGGATGAATGTAACCAGAAGGGATTTCGATTTTTAGTGGTTTTCCAAGCCTATATAAGAAATATTTTAGATATTTACAATAACATGGTCAAATCAAATTGCACTAAGGCATACCCGATACATGGCTCTTTCAATAGAGTTATAGCCTTTTCTTTTGCCTTCAAAATTCAAAGAAAGAAATCCAAAATAATTTATAAGATGGTTCAATGAAAAGTAGACATAGAACCCCTATAATATTTGTTAGTCAACAACAGGCTGGCAATGGACAATAATTCGATCAAAAACGCACTCTAATCGTTGGTGAAGAATTTGTGATCGAAATCTGAGGCTCGAGAAGGTACGAATAGCATTGCATTGTGATTAGTGATTTGCGACAACTGTAGAGAGACAAGAGTTATAGCCGATAGTTTACCTGTTGTTTTCTATGTCTGACTGTCGGAGAACGATAATGTGCTTTGATAGGTATACTCTTAAATGTGGAATCGACTGCAAATATCGATTACATCCGAGTAGTACATAATAAGCACTTCTACGTCGTCTTAACCTTCAAAGTATATTTTTTAACTGACTGAATGAATTTTATGAAACTTTCCATCCACAGATATTCAGACCAAGGATCATAAAGAATATCATGAGGACATCTTTAATGTCATCCACTGCAGGAGTCTTCGGCCACGACCACCCCTGAACAAAACTATGATATATTTTCGAGCAAGATTTGTTAAATTTGTTTTTGAAAAAAAAACATATCACAATGTGACATTGTGCCATTAGATATGCCATGATGGCCGCACGGCCCCCTATATTCATAATAAAATACATATATACTCGATGCTTTTTAATGTTTATAAAATTCAAAGATATTTCAATACAAAGCCCAGTACTTGTACACATATGTGTACATACAATATACAAATATTTTATATAAAATATGCAATTAAAATCATGAAAATATTATTTTCTAACTTTTTCAGACTTAAAATTTATAACGTTTAACTACGAAATTAGCGAGTATTAATACTGATGAATGTCAAGTCCTCCTTTTGTAATCGACCACTTTCACCACAACAGGCCACCTCATCCACTTTTATCTTTTAAGACAATAACAGGAGCAAAGTCAACCATGCAAACTCTGATATTATAACGGCAATTAGTATAGTGCAAGTAAATAGGGACATATGTGTGATACATTTTTACGTTTACATGAATTTATGTAGGTAGTTCGATAAGTTAAGGATTTTTATAATCAAAAGATTTTTTGAGCGAGTGCTTTTTCTTATAACTGAGTTTCTTAAGACAAACTTATTAAATCAAAATTATAGCAGTTACCGATATATTGCCATAGTTCGTTTTCAATTTGCGAACAGCAACAAAAAAACTTTTCGATATAGGGTTGCCACTCGTCGGCCTGAAACAAAATTATCCAGTCCATCAACCATTCTAGCTTTAAACTTTCAAAGGGCTTTTACATTTCATGGAAAACATCAAAATAATATTTTCATAAGAATATATAATATAAGAGTTGAGCAAATAGCTGTTTGAAACCATTCCCACAACAAGCTGATTTAAGTAATCGGAACCAACCCGGATTTTATCGGCCAAGGGTTGTCTACTCGGTAGCATTCCTCAAAATTTTTTCAGGATCCACTAACCTGGTAGTTAGAGTTTTTAAATTTGCCAGACTTTTCAACCGTTCTCGTATTTGCAAGCACAAACTATCACCGAAGCTGCAGCGTTGCAATTGCACATCACCCTAACCCAAAAGCAACCCAAGCAACTAAGCTACCTATTCCACTTCTGAGTACCAATGTGTATGATTGAGCAACGTAGGGTTTTCGCATTGCATTCATGCATTTCAATTCGCTCATTTTGATTTCTTAGTCAAATGTCAGCGCTGACAAGCGTCGACAAATTAAGGAAAGGCAAAGTAGTTAGCGATGCGCGCTTCGCATGCCAAGGATGCGCCATTCAGAGCGCAACTGACAAATGCAGATAAGCGAGGATAAGGAGAGCTTAATTTTTCACAACAACAACACAGAGTAAAAAAAAAGGGCCGCTTAAACATTAGTTGTTAAGAATAAAACTATGGAAGAGTCCTTTGGCAGTAACCTTCAAGTGACATTTGTAATTCATTACATTGTCGAAACTAATGCCACTTTTCGCATTCATAAGCACACTTGTGTGTATATATGCACGCAAATGTATTAGTAACATTCATAGATGTATGGTATTTCGTATAAATATCAATCAAACGACAGACAGTATTAAATTTAGAGTTTAAATTTGTGTAGATAATAATTTTTAGTAGAAAATGGCAAATATTTTTCTATGTATATTTGTATGGATGCTTGTGTATTCAACAATTTACCTACAAGTAGAAATACACGTATACGATACGAGGTGAACACAACTACATAGAAGTCATATATAGTACCGTACGTAGTATGTGTTTAGCAGCGGTAAAAAATTTTTTTAATTTTTCAAAGTGGTTCCATTGTCAACTATGCGTAGCGTATGCGATCATAAAAAAAACGATAAGTAAAAAGGTAAGTAACAGCCTCAGTTGTGGCTTTTGTAACTTATGGATTAACATTGATGGCGACATACAAGTTTTTCCGATCCATTGCATCCGATTTAATAGTCCAAATATGAAATATTCTGGCTGCTAAATACTTTTAGAGCTGTAAAATGAACTGATAAAACATGTACCAACATACAAGCCAACATTAATCGCAAATTTCAGAAATTTTAGAAGTAGAACTGTTTTAAAAACCAAAACTAAAACTTTTCGTATGATCAAATATCAAATATTAAAATATATAATTTACAACTCAACCCAGTTGAGTTTAAATTGAACAATTCAACTTTAAAACAACTGAGCACTGTTTCGCAGCTGAAGTTGTTTTGATGTTGTCAATCTAAAAAAAAATGGTTATCTTCGGCAATAATACCCTTCACTGGTGCATTTTTTAGCAGAAAAGGGTATACAAAAATATTTATCTTAGTTTTGATAAGTTAATTCGCATGACAGCTATATGCTAAAGTGGTCGAATCTGAACGATATATTCGGAGATTGTAGCGATACCTTGGACCTTGTCAAACCAAAAATTTTCCATACAAGGATTTGATTTTGATCGGTCTGTGGACTCAGCATCAGCATGATCTTTTAGTTGTATATGTATTTTATAGAGTCTCCGACGTTTCCTACTGTTTGTTACAAACTTCGTGACAGTTTTAATATACCCTGTTCACAGTAAATTTATATGTTTGAGCATTGCCTGAGTACTCAAGCTCTAGTTACGATTTACAACTCGTTTCAGTTAAGTTAAATTGATGTCATCAAACTTAAAGGTAAGCATTTGACAGAAAATCAAACTGCCAATAACTTTATAACGGATATTTTAAACAGTACCATTAAATTATTGTTTTCGAATACCTATAAATAGTATTTAATCTTTGATATCAATGACAAAAGTGTTAGAGTCAAAACTAATGTTATGAGCTAAAGATTGCATAAAGTCGATCATCGATATATTTTTCTTCCCCATTTTTATTAAATGCAACTTGCTCCCATATTTAAATTAGTTAACTAAAAAAAATTGTTTACCCTATTTTAATTTTTTATAATAACTTTCGAAGCTTGACAACTGCTAGTAATGACTTGATAGTTTTAGATTTTAACTACTTTGGTAGAGTTTATAAAATTTCAACTGATGTGAAGTTGAGCTGTAAGTCACAGTAAGCATTGAATATTGTTCAAAAATAATTAAATCAAATTTTTATAAGAAAAGTCTAAGTGTGCTGTATTTTTAGAAGCAAAATATTATGGTTACATAAAAGCTTATTCATACCAATACGAGTAATTAATTTAATTTATCAAACTCTATGAATAACGATCGGTACTGATATATTTTAGTTTCTTCAAAGAATTTCTTTCTATGACTTAATCGACTCAGATTTTTGGGTTTGGGGGATATAAAAAGCTTAAAACACTTTACTCTTAACTATGGTAAGTTCATTATACAAATATATTTTGGTAAAAAGTACAGTTTAAACACTTAATTACTGTTCCGAAATATTTTACATCTAGATATATTTTTATGTGTTTGTAGAATAAGCATGCAGCATCATTATTACAGTCAAAATAATGATTTAGCACTCTTAAATTTCTGCATATTTCTAAATATGATATATAATTGTATAATATATATCCTCACTACATACATAACTCTATATATACATAGTGAAAAGTTTTCTATACATAAACTACACACACGCTTCAGCTCAAATGTGCAAGTATACACTTTTTATATGTACATATGTAATTTTATATATTGCACACTAGTGTACTTACATGCCAGCATACTCTTCTGGATATGGTATGATGTATCCTTCGGGACTTGGACGTGGAGTTTTACCAACCCAGAAGAATGCATCCGGTCCCGTGCCATCATATGCAAATGATTTGATGAACAGCGTAGATTCGTCGACAGCATAAATGGAGCCCTGAGGGAGATAATAAAGTGATATTACAAAGCTTTATATATGTAAATACATACTAACATAGATGAAGCGCTTATTTGCTTAAAAAAATTGGTGATGAAGTGGGTATGCGTTAGCATATAGGTAAATATATAAGTATGTCTTCGTAACCTCACGATATGATATGTAGAAATTAATAGTTTATTTTTATTAAAAAAAAAATCATCTTTGTGTGAAATATAGAAAATTAATATATCCAATTGCTAGATTATTTTTGGTATATAAACTATATTTTAAGTCCAGATAAGTTTGTTGAATAAACTTTGTTAACAATTTGCAAGTAATCCGAAATGATTTCTCGCCTTGAATTATTACCTTAATTAACTTTTTTACCCCTATAGTTCGAAAATGAAATTTCAATCGAACTGGAGAAATCCTATCCGATAATAAGTCTGATTTCATTCAGCCTTTGAAAGTTGACGACTTGATCTTCCGATCTATTCTTTTATTTTTATTTTATCACTCAATAAATATATTTATAAACGTCGGGACGGCGCGTACGCCATTCCCGGCTACCACAAATTACACGCACGAGTTATTCACATTAGGAATAATCGCAGAGGTCAACCCCATCGTAGTGCAATGATTAGGTCTCGCTCCGGAGGAACCGCCTTCATGATCACGGATAACCTCTACGCCAGGTAAGTATGCTTTTCTCCGCTCAAACGAAAGTATTTCAGCAAATAGTTTAGAAAGTAGTTGAGAATTTATTTAAAAAGGACATGTGAGTATTTAGTACTAAACGAAAAAGGATATTTGTACTATTGCAGGTAGGATACAGAAAACTGGTGTTGTTGCTGCATGCTCAACCCTTACGTATAAGGGTATATGCAAAATGGTAACGTCAATGTATTTGCTTTAGAGAAACTAATCGTTTCATAAATATTGAAATATTCAGAATCCAAAACCAAAAAAAACTCCTGTGGAAACTCAAAAACTCTCATGAAGAGTGATGGCGAAGAAGTTTATATATACGATATTTAAGGTATCTCAATCAAGCTCTAGTTACTAAAGGAACAGTAATCATTTCTACATTCATCTGTTTGTATTGGAATAACCTACATTATCTACCTATGTATATTACCCATCATTTAAACAAAATAATAAAATTTAAGTGTGAGCTCACCTTTATGCCGTGCGCAAAATTGGTGAATTCTCCGATGTAGCGACCGTAGTAGGGCTCTGGTGGTGCGCGCCCTGAAGCTGAAATGAAAGAAATTTTTTATTTTAATAAAAAAAAATCATTAATGATTTGAAGAGCATATTGGCATTTCTTTAAGTAGCAAATAATTCCTAGTTCACACAGCGAAATACACTAAGCAGTACTTGATAAATAAATTTGTTTGATATTGCTTATTCGGAATCCAAGTAACTGTGAAGACATCTTGAGGACAATGAAGGCATTTTGTCATTAAAAGTGAAACGAAGGTAAGTAAGAAAGTTGGGCACAACAAAAATATTAAGTAAGCATCAGCTGTATAGAAAAAGCTTCGCAATAACATAAGAACAACAATAAGAAGTGAAAAAACTTGTGCCGCCACTGTACAAACAAATCTCACAAAGTTTCTCTATAAACTTTTCCTATTTTCCTTGTTTTACATACTTTGGGAATTAAATTCGCCTTTTGTCTCAGCAAAATCAACTTACATATGTATGCATTTCAATTATATGAAAGGCTCATTAAATGCACAGTGTGATGTTTTATGCAATTTTTACAGATAAATAAATAATATAAATTAAATAAATTAATAAAGTTTCATTTGTTATTTTTATAAAGAAGCTAAAAGAAATATATAAAAAAAAAGATATAAAACATAATCTAATAAAAAAGCAAGAACTTATATGTACATATATCGATAAATGACCAGCATTACGAGCTGAGTCTCGATCGACTTGATCGTCTGTCTATACGCGAACAAGTCACTCAGTTTTTGAGATGTTGGTCTGAAATTTTGCACATATTATTTTCACACCAATGAACTGCTCATTTGAAACCCTATTGAACATAGCTGCCCTGTAAACTGATCGATCAAAACCCAGTCCTTGTATGTAAAACTCTTTTAATTGACAAGATAACGAAATTTAGCAATGATTATTATCCAAGCGAATGATGAATATCCGAAGAGATTGTTCTGATCGGACCAATATGGCATATAGCTGCCACACAAAAGGACCGATCAAAATCAAGTTCTGTAAAGAGTATTTTTTATTTGTAAAAATATTATCGCTTCGGTGTAACCGAACTTAACGTTTCTTCTTATTTTACATAAAAAATTTTACCTAACAGCGAATAAATTTAGAGCACAATTTATGAGACAGTTGCGATTGCGCCTTAATGTATGTATTATATATTATATAGTTTTTTAAATGTAATAATTGTAGCTGCTAGTATTAATGAATTTTTTTAAGCATGTGATACCTTTGGAGTCTTTAATAGCACTTTAAAAAAAAAAAAATTGTACCCCACATGCATCAATTAATTATACGTTTTTATGGTTCCTAAATGTATATATATACTAATATAAATAAATGTATTCGTTTTTAAATGTATGACTCAATCATGAAAATCACAAAGTGCTCCTGATAAAGCTCCAAAGTCAAGATTATCCACCATGTTGCCGTTATTTTCTTCATATTTCATTGAAATATTCACTGCGGCAGAAACTTTCCATATAAAAGCATAGTTAAAGAAAAAACTGTATAAACTAATTGCCGCACTGTGATTTGTCGCACCTGTTAGACACGAAGGTGCCTCCACATGTGAGCATGTGCATATTTTAAATAAGCAAATGCACAATCCCAACACAATAGCTTGTGATAATTCCACTCATTTGCGTTTGGCTGCGCTGCTTGCCTTCAACTGCAGTTTTAATGCTCTTTTAATGAAGTGAAAATTTCTTAGAAAAAAAATGTTATAATAGCTTTATTTCTCAGAAAATATTGCAAACATTTTGTCAATTGACAACATGCGAGCCCTTGTGTTCGTGTGTAACAGTTTCCATGAGAATTAACGGGCATATTTCACATAACTTGTGTAGCATACATATATAAAATATAATATACCATAATTTATTATGCATGTATATAACATAACTGCTTAATTATTTTCAAATGAATAACATTATATACATTTACTATTTATACGTGAATAAGTATATAAATTTATGTATGTAGATAAGCGGAAACTTGTAAAAAAGGTAATTTGAAGTTAAACAGGGTGCGACTTCATTTGTATTGGTATCGAAATAATAAATAGGTTACATATTTTTATTTTAAATATTTTTACTTCATTTGCCCTTTACAATTTATTTTGAATATTTTCTTGAAAACAACATCAATCAAGTGGCACCAAAATGAACTTTTATCGGTCACTTTTTCGAGCATCTCTGATAGTCATTGAGGGTAAAAACTAGTTCTACTGTATTTTTTTGTTTTTGAAGTGGCGTTTAGGAAAAAAATAAAAAATGCACGTTTACAGAATTTATTGTATATTGGATTTCCTTGTTCCCGTAGCCAATCTCCAGGTGAACTTCTAAACAAAGGTGTCTGGCGGTTAAGAGTATTTTTCTGTATAAAATTATTTTCGTCGGTGCTTTTATATAATTTGTAATGTGGTAATGAGTAATCAAGACGATAAATCACTCTCACTCTATTTCATAACATACGTTCAGGAAATGTTTATTGCAGAAACTAAATATTATAACTTGATTTCACGTATCATTATTTCAGCTTGCCAATAAATCATTATTATGAATTGAGGTAATAAAATAGGCCTAACCAACTCAATCGGTTTGTAAATTTCAACGGTTTTAACTGTCTAACAAAAATATTTCTTCCACATATTTCAACCATTGAATTTATATAAAAATAAAATGCATCACTATAATATAAACACGTCAGGAGTCTGCAACGAATTGTTAACTGTTCATTTTGAGTTTCAGCTAAAATTATGTTCTAGAATGTTACGTGCTTAACTCTTCTATATAGGTGTTCATAAAATCAACACCGGAAAGTTAATTCTCTGCATAACGTCAATACGTTTCATAATTTAAAATTATTAAATGTTCACATGACAACACAAAAGATTACGCCCTCTGTAAGCACATTTAACTACATGAGAGTTTGCTAAATCAACAAGTAATTACAGCTGGAAAAAAGTATAAACATGTGTTTTGAATTATTGTAAATTAGAAAAAAATTAATAATTTAATTATCAAATTGTTTGTTAACCAAACATACATATATTATGAAAAAATGTTCATTTGCAAACAATTGATTTTCTCATTAAGACACTGACAAAAGTGCGGCGCAAAACTTAAATTTTACTGAAAATCAAATTGAATTTTAATGCTTGAACAGCAACGTGACTTGTAAAATTAAACAAAACTTTTAGCACAAAACACTCACATGTTTAGTTATTTACGCAAATCAATCTCTTCTATTCGCACCTAAGCCGCAAATAAAAGCGTGATCATTAACGTCAATCGCCGACTATTTGACAGTGAACATGATTTTCCTAAAATTCCATAAAATAATATTCAAAAGTCTTAAACTTCAGCTATGCGCGAATAAAGAGTTCACACTTGAAGCTCTTAGGGCTAGATGAGGCGTCGCTTTCGAAGTAAAGGTAAGACTGGTGGCAAGACACTTAAGCCATAAAATACTAATTGACTTTCATATATATATGAAATATACAATATATATGTATATGTATATATGTGTATATGTATATTTGTCTTACAATCAATCATTTAGATGTCATAATCTCGAATTCATAACACGTCGCTAATTGGTGAACCCAAGCATCTTCCTATAAAATATCAATTCGAAAAATACGACCTACGCTCAACCATAATGTGAATGAAGATTAGAATAATATACATATAGCTTTGGGAGTAGAAGAAAATCTCTGCCAAGAGATTCAAGATTTAGGTTCTCCTCAACAAAACTTTAGCTCCAAGCATGAGAAAGACTATGTTCACCTTGTCATAAGTCAAGTTGAATTGATGTGATAATGCAAACACGACATTTGTTACGGAATTCAATGTTTTGTGCGTTCTATGTGTTTGCTCATACTTATTTCTGGTCTTTATGAAGCAACAAGATCTCTTTGTAAGATGAAATATTTTTCTGCTAGGTAAAGCGCAAGTGCTACCCACCGATGTACACAAGTTTAATTGGAAATGATCACATATATATTAGGTTATACTTATTAAAAGAATAATAATGCTTGGCATATTGAATACTCTTCTGACTTAATCTTAACTTTAGACTTTGGGTTCGTTGTACGAATGAATACACAATGATATATCACCAATAATTGTGTTGTTTTGAAGAGCCTTTATAGGTGTTTCGTCCAGACACTTCTATTAAATCCAAATGGAATAATAATAGCTATAATATAGATAAGGTACGGTGAGAGTCGCATCGAATTTAAAATATTCATTTTGTTCTAGCTTAAGTCCTCGTTTCGAATAACCTTACTATAAAATTTTCCTACAGATGCCTTTTGTAATTCAAACGATTATTAATAAAAGCAACTGAAAGTTAGTTCTATACATCATCTCAACCTGTTTTAAAACACTTACTCATCACACTTGACCCGGTCTGGTCTATTTAAACTGCGCGAACGAACCAAATCAATAATTATTTTCCGAGATTGGTACAACTTTTTTATGTTCGTGTGAAGTTTGATCTCCATATGTCAGTTAGAGTGTGACACACGGCTACATGAACTCTACGAAAACTTGCTCATGCGAGTTTTTCCATCCACTCTGTTGGTGACGATAAGTAGAGGACCCAAAAGAGATATTTGACAATGTAACTGAAAACCCTACATTCATCAAAGACCTCATTAATGGTGACGAGACATGGTTTTATGAATATGACTTCGACACTGTTCAATAATCTATCGAATAGCACAAAATGAGCGATAGCAATACGTAACTGAACGAAGTATACTTCT